GCCATACATATTTCTGTAGCTTTAAACAAATAGTTATTTCTGTTCATCAGTCCTGCCTTCATTTTCTGGTTTCATAAAAAAAAAATTGGAGAACTTTCCTCCTCGACCTAAATCGGGCTGAAAATAACAAGACAGCTCAGGAACATTTACTCTGTGTATGAAGTGTACAGTACTAATCCCTATTTTTAATTTTGAGATTAGTTACTGTAAATCTGTTTGTTGACAAACTCTGTCCTTTCTTTCCTTTTTTCATCAAATCATTTTACAATAATAATAACAAACATTTTAATTCTAACTTTATTTTGTGTTTCAGCTAGCTGGTGTGAGTAGAAATATTATAATAGTTGTCGTTTCTGTCGTATTTATTAGTTTTACCGCTAAGCTTTTATATGCTCTTGCTAAGTTCTTACATGCTCCTGTTATTATGTTACGGTCGTTCCTTGAAATGATAGAAGACAGGGTTTAGATAATATAACTTGTATTGCTTCAGTTGTTAATTCTTTACATTATAATAATAATAGTGTTATAAAACTATACATTAAAAATACAAATGATAATTATGAAGAATTCAATACTCAATGCATACATAATATATAAAGTTGGGGGTGTTTATATAAAATGCCATAAATATAATGATTAACTAATATAACATTGTTTGGGGAGAGTTTACTCGCTTGTAATGTCGAGAGGCACTACTTGCCAATATTCTTAGGGCACGACATTATCTTGTGCACTTGTGAGTTAACGCATTGAGTCCTGATGCAGCCTTGGTAGATAATCTAAGGCTCAATTTAATATAATTGAATAGTTGCTTTTATAGATTATCCACCGAGTTGCACCAGTTGGGGCAGTCAACAGGCAAGTATGGAATCTAAGGCTCAAAGTATAATAACGTTTGATTAATTGCTTTTATAGATTCCCTATCAGGCTGTGACTACCAATGCTCTCATATAATATAATAAATTTTTATAAACTGAACCTTACCTTGAAATGATAGAAGACAGGGTTGAGATAATATAACTTGTATTGCTTCAGTTGTTAATTGAAGAATATGGCAGAGGCTGGGTTATATAGCCCATTTTAGGACTTTTTAAAAACATACTTTCAGCCTTATCATCATTGAATGGATTTTCACTACACGTTGTTAAAGAGAATGAAACATCAGAACTATGTTATAAAGATAATATTATACGTTACACTACACCAGCAGTAAATAATATAGAGTGTAGTCAGGTTATAACTGGTCGTTATGTAAATATCAGTAATTTTCATACAAGCGAAGATGGAAGATTTTTAGTTTTATGTGAAGTTGAGATTTATGGTAAGCTTCATGTCTAGAAAAGTATCATGGTATTGCATTTCGATATCCCGCTTTTAGTAGTCCATTGTTCATGACAAAAGACAAGGCACTCCTATAAAATCAATTCCAAGCAACTGCACCAACTTTCGTTAATGTTGATAATATTTTGCACCCGTCCGACTAACCGAGCATTGAAACATGAAGTCAACGAAGTATCAATAAAAAGAGACTTCAATGAGGTATTTGAATCTTTCTTTTCATATTTTCTAATTAATTGCAGTATGTTCTAACGGAACGTATGGTCTTAATTGTACCAACTTCTGTCATTGTTTAAATAATGAAAGATGTTTAGAGAATGGTCAATGTCCTGGTATATGTGCTGATGGATGGACTGGAACATATTGTAATCAAAGTAAAGGTTTTCTTTTTGTTATGTTACCAATAAGACATCAGGTTCAATCGATTAAAAAAAAAACACTTCAAATAGAGGTGACATTGATTGCGATTGATCTAATTTCTTAAGACAGGCGTACACAGTCGTACACACGTGAGAAACATAGAAAAATACGATACGTGAATCAATGAAACAAAAGTTATGCGTGAACATCAGAAGCGTTGTAATCTATTTCTCCTTTTATAGCTTGTAATAATGGTAAGTATGGTGCTGGATGTGATAAACTATGTTCAGATAGAAATTGTTTAGTAGAAACATCACCATGTAATCATATCAATGGTAGCTGTCAAGATGGATGTAAAGAAGGATTTAAAGGAATTGACTGTGTTAAAAGATGTGGAGATGGTGTTTATGGAGTAGGATGTAGTAAGAAATGTTCAGATAGAAAATGTAAAGATAATAATTTACAATGTGACAATAAAACAGGAGAATGTATTGATGGATGCCAACCAGGATACCAATCAATAGATTGTACACAAGGTTAGTTTGATTAAGCCAAGGTACGTTTTCAGAAGCAGAAAACCAGAATGATGCATTTCCAAACCACATGCCGAGTGAAGGTCTGCAATTGTGTGAGCAAAATCTTTTTCGCAAAGTTACACAACCAAACTTTTATGGATCCATGTTATCATAATTATAAGAAATGTTCTCTGTGATGCGGACTTCAATCGCAAAAAAACTAGGCCAGAAAATT